ATCTCTCGGTTGAGATAATGTCGTGATAAGAGGTCAGATTATCACGTAAATTATTTGCAGCATCCACAGAACCTCTAGATCTGTTTAATACTATAAAAAATAATTTAAAAAACTCAACGAAATAAAAATACAGGTCTTAAGCTTTGTAGTAACCACACGCGTCGTGTAAACTGAGAAGGTCTGTTCAATAAAAAAAATGTAGTTTATATCGGCCCAAATGGGCCGACTAAATCTTTACTTGTTAATAAAAATACAGTATATAGTCCCTTATTTTATCAAGGCACATCAAGTTTGATCTATGCCTTTCTTTTTTAATTGTACGCGATAATGATAGATATGCAATCATTTCTATCTTAAATGGTTTTAGCTATCAACCTTATACAGAACCCTTCTTCCTATATGGCCCATACTAAAATTATACATGACACAGCAATTCGTTTATTATAAACAATGTATAAGCAAAAGAATTTACATACAAAAGAATGTCATTAAATACTATTTCTTCTTCCTCTCTTTCCTTTCACTTCTTTTCCTTTCAAAATAGGATCTTGTTCATCATCTGTCAATTTTCCAGAAGCATATGCTTTCCAACGAGCCACCACCTCTTTTCCGACATCATAACCCGTTTGAAATATATCATTATACTTTGCAAATTCCAAAGTACCCCATTGTTGTACAGGCAGTTTTAGATAGAGCGTGCCATCCGTTACTTTGGCCTCTTCCAATTTCGCAACACTACTCACATAAGCAAGTCGACTCTGAATTTCCGCAATGCTTGGAATGTTGTAGGTTCTGAACGGATTGAGGCCATGTAAGAGTGCCCACCAACCACTGATGGAATCACCATAATAAACAGGACTCGTGTCATCCTCAGAAGCAACGTCGACAGCAATGATGATATCTGCTCCCATACTTTTAGCCACTGAGACAGGAAGATTGTCCATATAGCCACCATCGACAAGCATATTGCCATTATCGCAAATAGGCGGCATATAACCTGAAAGTGACATTGAGGCTCGAATATATCGCCATGCATAGCCTGTCGTATGAACCTCCATACGTGAGAACGTAATGTTGGTTGTCACTGCATAGTAAGGTAACCAGTAATCCTCAATCTGACTATCACCAATACATTTCCAAATGGCTCTGTTGAACTCATGGCCTGTAAACCATGCAGTGACAGGATAAGTCAAGTCCATGATCTGTCTCCAAATGCTAGACACGCGGCCTGCAAACATCTTGCTTCTTGCAATAACAGATACAAGGTCCATATTGCGTGCATACAATCCGCCGACAAAGCTACCAATACTTGTGCCACCAATGATATCAATCGGAATGCCTGCCTCTTCAATGGCTTGAATAACACCTACATGAGCGATACCACGAGCACCACCACCACCAAGAACAAGAGCCACCGATTTGCCACAGATTCTGCGAGCCAAACGAGCAAAGTCATTCCTAGAGGTTGAACTTACACCAGTCATCGTGTTAGTGTTTGACTTTTTAAAATCGAGCAATCGACTAATGGGAGGCACAGCAGAATAGTACTCCTTGATCTGGTCTTTGACGTTGGATAGCATAGTGATAGAGTTTGCGGTCACCTTTCTTCCTTGCTGTGCTAACCATGGAGGCACAAACTTTTCACTAGCTGCTAAAGTAGTATGTTGACGCAATGCCATATACACATGATGATGGGCTTGAATCCACAATCGGTTCTGCAAGGGAAAAATAGTTAGCAACTGTGAACACACGCAAACTACACGTATTACCTTTAACCAGTTTTGAGTTGTGCCTGGAGCACAATATCTTTCTCCATGAAGCAAGACAAGTTCTTTTCTTGCTGTTGTCTTCAAGTTGATCAAGAGACGCTCATACTCTCCAACAGAGGGGTCACCATCGCCAAGACCAACTAACAAAATACAATCGGCCTGTCGAATACAAGTACGCGTCCACTGCGAGGTAACGCCACCATCAGCCAAGTACAGAACAATCCTATACTTCTCTTCCTGCTGAGCAAGCCAAGAAGCCATCTTGAGTTTACCTAAACGAGAAAATGCGTATTTACCCATGATCGCTGTCACGGTCGCACTGTTCAAAAGGACACATGTGGCTCCTACAGAATGAATCAAGGCAGCCTTTAAGCTCTCTGCAAACTCGGTTACCGGAACAGCAGAATTAACAGGAATGATACCAATCGTCTTTAGGTTCACGTTGTTTCGACCATAGAGTTCAGGGTACCCCTTGAGATCAGCGGTTGAAGCGATCGCCGTTTCTGGATTGGAGCTTATACGAAACACATTTGGATTTTGCATGTCTCTATTACGCAGTTCAAGTGAACGGAAAGCGACCATACGCGAGATTTGAAGTGTAATTTCTGGATGACGAAGCGCAAGTGCATTAAACAGTGTTTTAGGCATACGCGCAAGTTCTGTATCACGAATAGCGTGAAGTGTGGCAGATGTAGGAACACCAGCTACGACAAAAAAATTCAATTCAGTCTTACAGTATTTTGATAAAGACCTTCTCCTTACTTAGTACTTCAAGTTCTCCTACACTATCACCATGACCAAATTCTCCAAGAATCTCAATATCCCCTTCTTCCTTTTCATGTATTGTTCTTAAACGGCCATGCAACACCATATAGATAGCATCACTTGGTTCACCTTCTCTGCAGATAATTTGACCAGCATTCACCTGCATCCATTCTAGTGAGATATCAATCTGAAGGACTACAAAAGATGATCAATGAGGAGGGGGGAAACAGTCTAATAGATGTTATTGATAAACTTACTTAGTGGACTGACATGACCAACAAGCTGTTTAGCCAGTTTCAACATTACAGTTGGATTCTTTTCGATAATTCTATCCAAGCGCTTTTTAGAGACATAGCCTACATAAGCATCCGTCTTTGCTTTAATTTCAACAAAACTAGGAAACCCAGTCAAGGCATCCAAATAACCCCCGATTCCACCAGGCTTGATGAAATACAGTGGTCTCTTGATCTTTCCACGATCTTCCTTTCCAAACTTGACTTTACTGCTGCGACCAGAAGGAGCATCCGAAGCGACGACCTTGTCGACTTTGGCACTTGTTGTACTGCTAGAAGGAGGTGGCATCTGTTTTCCTTCTTTTGAATGTTCTGATGACTTTGAGGAGATAGAGGATGAAGGAGTAAGTTCAAAGCCAGTGTCAACAATACGGGATTTTCTATTGGTGCGTCGCTTGCCCTTCTTTGTACTTGCTTCTTCCATAACGTCTTCTCCCTTGGTGGGTGTCATGGATACTTCCAAGAGACCATCAATGACAAAGAACAGACCTGTGTTGTGAGCCCCTTCACGTACCAAGACAGCATCCTTTGGAAAGTAAAGAATCTGTACGTCATCAGGAGAAATAGGATCCGCCTTGTTCGCACTAAGAATATCGGAATTAGTGCCGCCTGATTGTACAGAGGAAGTGGTTGATACAGCATCGTCATCATAATCAGCAATAGCATCCAAAGAAGGAGAGGTCATTGCATCTACCGCACCTGTGTGAGAGAATAGATCCATGGGATATTGAAGGCGAGATCTTTGTTCTTCATTATAGGAGCGACGAGGAACTCTAGGAGACATGGCAAACGGAGACTTGGGCTCTTCTGAGGAAGCACTGGAGTTTTTAGGCTTGATTCCAAGTGCATCTGAAACACACTTTACGATCGATGTTCGTAAATGTTCATCATCTTCCATGCTATACTCGCCTCTTCTATTGGACTTTTGGCGGTATAAGCGAGGTGAAGCGGCGTTGGATGGAGATGAACCCAATTTAGGATTGCTATTAGGACTGCCGTTATGAATGGATGGTGTATCGGGCATATCGATGATACCTATAGCTTGAATGATTCCAGTACTATCACTACGGCTAATTTCTGCCGGTGTCAATCCATTCTCATTGTCTTGAGATGCAGTTTCTTCATCGTTGAACTTGTGTCTCAAACGGTCCATTCCATCGGGAGCAAAAAAATCCGCTGGAAGTTCGGGTAAACTAGCAGATTCATTCACGAGCCTTTCCAGTCGTAAAAGTTCCTTTGTCAGACCAAGATACCGATGACTTGTCATCAGAGTAACCCTCTGAAATCGAGTAACAATCACTTGAACAATATGAGCAGCAGCCTTGGGGAACTTTTGTGTCAATTTGTGGAAAGCTTCTTCAGGGATAACGGCCAATGTCGTATCAACCGTTGCTCGGGCAATAATGTTGGGATGAACAGAGCGATAGGATCGTCTATGCCATTTTGAGTAACCATTTATATCTTGTAACGGCTGAGAATATTTGGAGGTGGAGGCGGATAACTTCTTGGAAGTAGTAGGAGGCGGCAGACCAAATGAATCATTCAACTCATGTGGCTCGATGTCTTCGTTTTCACTGGCTAAAATCTGGTCTTGAGAGCTGACTGCCTGTGGTGATAACACGGTTGGATGTACTGATCTTGTCCTTTTACGCAGCCCACTGTTCTCTGATTCAGGTTTTGAAACACTAGGTACCATCGGCTCTTCTAAACTAGGAAATACTTGTTTCCATTCGTCAGATGATGAGTCCTTGTTTGGTTCATTGTTATTAGAGACAGGAACCAAACGTGATAGATGAGATTTAGATGTTGACTTTTGTCTCTGTCGCTCCTTGGCTTCTGACCTGTTGAAGCTTTCTCTAAAGATGGAAAGGATAGTAAACAGACTTGATAGAGTACCGCCAGCACCTACTTCATTAATCAAGGTGTAATTTTTAAATTTATCTCTTCTATGATTCGAATCAAAGGGGTCACTATCATCTGCTGGTTGATTCCACAAATCGTTGGATTCAAATACGTCATCCTCATCACTCGTATCATCCAAGTCCTCATTTTCAGGCTTTACAAACAATTGCACATGTCCGTCCACGACGATATAAAACGAACGTTCTTGATCCGGGTTTCTAAAAAGAGTATCGCCAGCCAATAGCTTTTTGGTTTGAAGATGTCGTGCAAGTTCATGAAAGACGGGTTGCTCCAAGTAACCAAAGATCTTAATGGAAGACAAGAAGGCTGATAAAAACTCATCTGGATAGTTCTTAAACCCTGGCTTGGAATATTCATTTTCTTCACCAGTATCTGGATGTAAATCAAAGGAGGATGCTACTTTGGGCGATTTAATTGGCTTTAAGCGCGAATACTTGGTCAGGAATCGATATCGAACGACAAGATAAGCGATGGTAGCAATGATGGTAAGAATGACGAGAAGTGATGAAAAATTCAGGTGCAAGGTGAATGACCAAGTAAGAATTCTATAAAAGAAGACAGGTATTGAAATGGTAGCAAACCCAACGATTTTTAAAAGAATCGCTGGTATAAAACCAAGAACTTTGGAAACCACAGATCGCTGAGTGGATGGTGCAAGTGCTGGTTTTGTCACGCTGACAATAACTTCCTTAGGTGGTGCCTTTGTCAAGGAGTCTAATATAGGTCGACTTGAGTCCATTCGAATGTCTTCAAGAGGAGGAAAAAGGGAAGAAAGTCAATGGAAGTTTAAAGAATCAGCATTTTTATTCGCACTTTAAAATTTCTAGCAGAGTCTAAAGTTTACATCATGCCCCTTGTAACACAAATGGCGTTACAGTCCATTGACACGATTTCATAAAGTAACAGGATGATTTTATGTATCAAGGGAGCATAGAATACAAGATGTAGACATTGATTATTTTTCATGATATATCGAATGTAGTCAATGCGGATGAATTCACCCTAAAATACCTTAGAGAGGGCTACGCAAGTAACATAAACTGGTATTCAGAGTTTTCTTGCGTCCTATTTTACACTTTATTCACAAATTATTCGCACACTGATAAAAAAAATGATAATTTCAGACACAAACAATGATAAAAGAGAGCCCATCAGAAGCAAAAGAAATGATTAGTAAATCGGTTATTACACTGATATTAAATACACTATAAAAAGAGTTTATAAGAGAAACAAGAAAAGTGAGTAAACTTGTAAAAGAGATTATTAACATCTTACCCGAAGCGCATCATGGTTAGGGCTGGCGATAACCAGCCTGGAGAAGACAGCGAGGAAAGAAGAGAAAAAAAGAAGCAAGTAAAGAGAAATCAAGAGAGAGAGTGGGTGAAACCAAGTTTGGTAAGAACCAAACTACCCCCAACTAGCACCGGTACTGTTTCGATTTTATGATCTACAATACTACATATCAGTTTCTTACAAGAGTAAATAATATAACATATCTTGCGGCTAGCTGGGGAATAGATGGTCTTACTTTTTGGTCCAAAGAAGAAGTCAAGATCAGACTATTTAAACAAAGTTTCTAACAACTTTTTCAGTTACGTGTTATTTATAAGTGCTGACCACATTTATCTTATATATCTCTCAAATAAACCAAACTCATTGACTTTTTAATAAAAAAGAAAGGATTGCTAACCAACTAAAGTGTAACTGTTATTGATATTGTGTGCGAATAATTTGTAAAAAACGCTATTACTGCGGTATTTTTTCCTTTTTATCTGCTTTCTTTTTTTTTTTTTTTTTGTAAAAAATGGCTATAGAATTGATAGACGCATTTAAAAAAATGTTTGGATATGATCCAAGCACAGTCTGGGTTGGCTATGAAAACGGCACTCTTATTCTCTTTAAAGAAAACACTGATAAGCAAACAGCTATAGAAAAAGCACAAGAACTAGTAGCAATAGAGGTGACAGCAGGAACAGATACTGCAGATTTTAATGTATATCGGATGGACAAAGCTTATCCTGATGATAACGTTTACTTGGTTGCATACTCTAATCCCTCCAGCATGGTCACGATTTTAGAAATGCCTGAAGATTCTGAAGATATCATAGTCGGGCTATCTGGTCGTGCAAAAAGAATTCAGGATAGCCAGTCAAAAAACATTATTTGTACCTCTTTTGATTAAAGATCGTTGAAAAACTATGAATATATTTCCTTCTTTATTCATAATCAGGTTCCCCTTCTGGCTTTTTTGCGGGATCAATACCGATAGATTTCATCTTGACCGCAATCTCAAAGAGATAATCATAGCATTCAGTCATTGTCTTTGCCTTTTCCCAAGATTCTATTGTGACATTAATTCTCTTTTTCATAAACATCACTTTTAGGGCCTTACCTCCCCAGACATAAACACCATGACGACGTACGAGGACAGCATTTGTATTGGGATACTCTCTCATAGCCTAGTGATATAATAAGTATCACTGTTATCTAGACTCGAATGAACTTACGGCTGCCATTCTATCCGTCAAATCTTCTTCTTCAGGTGTATTTTCAACAATAGGCACGACTAGCTTATCAAAATAGCGCAAGTTCTGTGTTGTTGAGCCAATACGAATACCTTTAATCATTTCTTGATGAGATATCTCAAACGTTTTGCCAGGGTACAACAATGTTGCCATGACGGCATTCTGGGAGTGTGTATGAATACAGGCGCCTGCATCGCGCATGGTGTAAGCGTTGTAAAATAGAGGTGTACAAGCAGAAGGCTTATATGTCAAGGGTTTTCTTAAAAGTGTACGATCTTGTAAGGTCATTACAAATAAATCTTGGGGCTCCATGCGTTCTTTTTGAACACCTGAAGGTGCGATGTAGACCTTATCTCTGTAGAAGGCAATTTTAGTTGCTCTTGTTATCGACTCTTGCTCTTTTGTTACCCTTTTCTAATACTGATACCACCTCCAGTTCCAGTGACCCAACCCAAATTGTAAAATAACCTACATAATTCAGGAATAAGGTTGGCAGGGTGATGAGGATCTTCACTCTGACATAATTCAACAGATGTGGTCACTACTTCTTTAACAGACATGGTTTAACGAAGAAAAAGGAAAAGTCAGCTAAAAAAGCTATTCAGCTGGAGTAACCTGTCTGGTCTGTAGTGACAGTCTAATATAATTAAAAAGCTTTCAAACAGATATATTTGAACAAAAATTCTTTTACTTTAACATGTCTTTACTTTGACTTTGACTTGGAAGGACGTCCTTTCTTTTTCTTTTCAATTGGCTTTTCAGTAGTTAACTTTACCTTATTTTTGCCCTTTGTGGCTTTTGTCTTCTTTTGTGATTTTTTCTTGGGAGCGACCTGACGCTTTACAGCCTTGACATGTTTTTTGAACTCCGTGCATTCTTGAAGGAGACCTTCTTCATAAGCGACGGTGAAAAGCTTCTCTAAGAAGGGGAAATAGTCAAACTTTTGTCTTATAAGGTCATCGATATCTTCATTGTCTTGTTTGCTTGTAGGTGACTCGTAAGTGACAGCCATTAAACTGAAGGCGATACCATTATCTTCACTGTATATATACAGAGTGTTAGTGATAAAATAAAAACGCAGATTATATTTACGATGCTGTCATCTTTTGCTCAAGGAAAGGCTTTAGTGTGTTCAACCAGTCATTTTCAGAAGAGGGGGCAAGCTTGATAGGACCATACTTTAATCCATCAAGTTCCCATACAAAACCGGCCTTGTAGATGTAGCTCACGTAGTGGTAGTTTTCAGCGTCTACCAGCTCCTGGTTGCTACCAGCCAGCTCTTCGTCATCGATATCCATCGTCAGGGTATCAGATTTTTGCTGCAAGCTTTGATTTACATAAAGAGAAGATATCAGATTCATGTATATTTATCATGAGAATAACTGCTGAAACTTACGTGGTATATAAGTGGTGAATTTTACGTATCTGTGGGGAATTTCCGAGCGCCATACCGCGATTCTATAAAGTATTAGTCAGAAAAAAGATGCGTAACATCGTGTTTATGCACTTACCACGGGAGAAAAGCCTCTTGTGAATTCCAGGAAGCTTTCTAAAAGCGCTCCTTTATAGATATCAGCGTTAAATAAGACTGCCAGTAAGGCTAAAGTACCACAAATGTTTGTTATAACCTAAAACACGGTTTTAGTAGTTTTCAGAAACAGTGTATATGTAAGTTATTTACCTGGGCAGTAAAGGTAACAGGAGTGTCATTGATATCGATTGTATCTGCATCCGTGGGAATGGTATCGTCATCATTATCTGTGCACTTGGAAGCAAGGATTAAGCCGTAAACAGGTCTAAGAAAAAACGTGTAAATATCTAAGACTTTGTAAATGTTTAACATACCCTTCTGCATTCAGAAAATCAAAATCTAAGCTATACACTTCTTGTACTTTGACTTCTTTAGTACCGTACTCACGCACCATGTCATTAAAGATCGCTAATGGACAAATGAGTAACAGATGAAGTAGTTAATTTTTAGATCATTACCAGGATCAGAAGGCAGCAAGGTCCAAGGTTCATTTTGGTCAGCTGGAAGCATAAGATCAGACGTCATTGTAATAGATTTGTAAAAAGATGAAAGAAAACGCTATTTTTTGGGTTCAAACTATCTGGTTAAATAGAGAGAGCTTGAATCATGTGATAAGCCCAAATTCTACGCCGATATATAAACACCTTGCTATGGGGTTTTTTTTTCTATTGTTCGTGCAGACGTGTGTTCTTGATTAAGTAACAAACCAGGTTCTTCATGCACATTCTGATCTTGCTCTTTTGTATTTTGGTGTCGTTATCAGGCTTTTAGCGAGAAAGAGTAGGTTTCTTTGAGTAACTTTTGGATAAAAATAGACTTGCTAGTTTGATAGCATATAGGATTGTATTATAACTTTAATTTGAAGAAGAGTAAGCAAGGTCAAATATATCAGTTATCACTCGGTTTGACTCTATTTTCATAGATAGTTATTTAAATATTTTAACAGCATTTTTATAGTAATTATGTGGTCATGGTTACAAGTAACTATAATAGCAGATGCTCTCTCTCTCTTTCTTTTGTTCTCTCTGGTTTTGCTCATTACTGCAAAGAATGACACCTTAGTATCAGCCAATAAATTCTTTCAATCTTTGTTTTATTTTAAGTTCTTTTTTACCTTATGTGTCGATTCTTATTATACAAAGGAAAACAACCCATTTTACTTGCTCACGTATGGGCTTTCAGAATATATGCTTATCAGCATTGAACTCACTTGACACATTAGTTGATCACTAGACCAAAGCATTCGATTGTCAATCAATCATTTGATTCCAGATTGCGTATTGACCAAGTACGCCCACTGAACGGTATATATTTACAAGTTTTTCTTATACTCTCTTTATTGACACCTTTTGCTCTCTCCAAGGTGATGGCTTTGGTGTAGGTTGGTATGATAGCGAGACAAGTCATCATGAACAAGACGAAGTTACACCTTGCATCTTCACCTCAGTCACACCAGCTTGGAATAATGTGAACTTGGTTCGATTAGCTGAAAAGATTAGAAGTCCCTTGATTTTTGCTCATGTTCGTGCAAGTACATCAGGTTCTGTCTCAGAAAGCAATTGCCATCCATGGTCGTAAGCATCGTTACCGTCATTTGTATAGGAGAGCATAATTGATTTTTTTTTCTTGTTTAGGTATGGTCGTCTTATGTGGATGCATAATGGTGGAATCGCACAATTTGACAAGGTATATATATTTTTGTAAGTTTAGAGAGGTTTAAACAATGTATTCAACCTTGTAAAGATCAAACGTAAACTGCAGAATTCTTTATCAGAGGAACTATTCTTGTTCGTACAAGGCAATACGGATTCTGAATGGGCCTTTGCTCTATTTTTGAGTTTTGTAAGTGTTCTTCATAACAAATGAAATAAACTAACTTTTGTTGATTAGCTTTCAAATCCAAAAGCCAATTCATTTGAGCACCAAGAGTTAAAGGAGGCTATGCTTAAAACCATAGCTCAATTGAACTCGTGGGCAGAGGAATCAGATGTAACTGAGGTATGCAGCTTATCCCCCCTAACTAGTATCCCTTTTCTCATGACACACTTTTTGCTATTAGCCTTCGCTTTTAAACTTTGCAGTGACAGATGGTGAATCTGTAGTCTGTGTACGATATACAAATAGCAAAACAGATGAAGCAGCGTCTCTTTATTTTTCATCAGGCACCAAGTTTGAATGTTATCGCCCTGGACATTATCGTATGGTGAAAGCAGATAGAAGAGAACACATTGTTGTTGTGGCAAGCGGTACGTAGCCCTCCTCATACAGAAGTGCTCGATGCAGATAAACTTAACTTGCTATCTAGAACCTTTGACGTTTGAAAAGGCGGATTGGCTCACAATTCCAACCAACAACATTTTGGTGATCACTCCAAAGCTTAATGTGCTATTACAACCTATTAAAGATAAATTTTATACGCCAGAGAGAGGCCTAGAACACAAACTTGGCGAGGATGAAGCTGTAATTATTCCCGATCCAAAAGCTCAATTATTCAAAGCAAAGGTCGAAGAGCAGATGCGTCAAGAAGCATCGACCACCACTGTTTGTATGTAAATAAAAATTTTCCCGACAAACCAAGAAGATAGGTCAGATTGGATGATCGGTAGAGCATGGATAATAGACCGTACATGCTTTTTCTCTTTTTGCAACCAAGCCAACAGTTGTCTCGGCGATGTTTAAATAAACATAGCATTGCACATAAACTCATTCTGTAAAAAAGAACTTTTTTTTCTCTTTCCAACGTCACCTTGATCAAACTTGGACTTTATTCAAGCTTTTTTATGATCGGAAAGCCCCAAGGCTGATTTATAAAGAAAATATCCGGTAGATCACAATCGCATGCTTCTTCCGTCTTTAACCGCCATGTTTTCAAAGATACATTTAATAAGAAAAAAAAAAGGTTTTATTGTCTAAAGATGAGATAACAATAAGAAAATAAATATTGAAGATATTTACACGTAGAAGAAGCAAGGTATAAAATCCAAATGATTTAAATTTCGGCAGTAATGGCTTCAGGAGAAAGACCTTCATAGATGATACGGTACACGGTGTTAAAGAGAGGGAATTCTTTCTGCATACTTCTGGCAGATAAAAATTCATTGACTTCCTGAGCCGTCAAAGTACCTTGAAGCTTTTGACCATTCAAAAGTTCTTCTTCTAATTGTTCGATTGGCTTTCCGGTTTGAACAAAGGCTTCAGCCACCTTACGGTTACGACCACCATTGCATGTTGTAATCAAGTCTGCGGCGCCACAGGATTCGAAGAAGGTCTCGGTCTGAACAGCGTCACCAAAGAATGTTTGACCAAATTTGCGCATTTCCATCAAGCCCAAGCGGATGATTGCGGCTTTTGTGTTGCTACCATGACCAAGACCATCTGAGAGGCCAGCTCCGACGGCAACCACGTTCTTCAAAGCACCGCACAATTGAACACCGACGTGATCTTGAATCACTGAGATACGGAAATAGGGAGTATTGAACAATTTCTTGAAGACCATACCATCTTCCATATTTTGACAGCCAATAGTGGATTCACAAAACTTTTCCATGGCAACCTCGTTAGCAATGTTAGCTCCACTGAGCGCAGCACAGGGGATGTTCAAGATACGTGTGATTTCCTCAGAGAAGAGACGAGTGCCTTCTGCAGTAATTTCAAGACCCTTGATCAGAGAGATAGCGCGAGCATTAGGAGCCAAGTGGCCCTTCATCTTTTCACAGACACCCTTGAGGAATTGATGAGGAACGACAAAGACGACGAGTGAAGCGCCTTCACAAGCCTTGACAACATCAGGAATAGCAACAACGTTTTCCGGGAGCTTGATACCTTTTAAATACTTTACGTTTTCATGCTCTGTGTTGATAATATCAGTCAGGTTACGACCATCGATTTGTTCTTCAAAGACCCATTGACGGACGATAGGTTCAAATTGATCAGAATGAACAGCAGTGTTTGTACCGACAATTTTAGCGATAGCAGAACCCCAGTTACCAGAACCGATAATGCAAACTTTTTCAAGAGACATGTTGATTTATGAATTGATAGAAAGAGAGAAAAGAAATCAGGCTGCTTTTATATATCTGATTTGATAGCAATCTATTCATACTCCGTAAGCGGGGTAATAGAGAGCTTATTGTGTGTTTTTGAAATGATAGTCATCACCTCTTCTCCTTCTCTTTTTCATTCTCTTTGGACAAAGATAGACAAATATAGAGCTTATCAAAACCTTGTCTGATCCCAAAAAGGGAATGGTATGCTTTCACATGCTCTCTCTCTTTGTTTGTTTGATTACTCCTAGTGTAAATGACGTTTTTTATATTTCAAGTCAAGAAATGATCGGTCACTTAATCAGTGCTAATTTCTTTTTTATTGACATCATAATTTCCCTTATCGTGACAAATCGAGTATAATGCCTAACGGATCTTTAATCTGATTATTGCCCCTGAAACACACACTTTCTCTCTTTGTCCTTTTTGCTTAAACAGCAGCTGCGTAATTAAGTAATGGTTATTTTCCATATTTATCAATAGAGCAAAAAAGACGTATACGATCCATCGGTGATTTAATTATTTTCTACCATCAATAAACGGGGACAATGATTACACGCATATGATTAAGCATGAAGAGCAACAAAATGGCTTTTTTTTTGAGAAAAGATGAGTGGTTATTACATAAGAGAGAGAGAGAGAGAAGACGTGTTGTTTTCTATCAGCTGATTCAGTCATACAAAAACAGTTATGCAAAGTGCATAAAAGAGCATTAAGCCATACTAAATCATCACATAACAACAACCTTTGTCTTATTCACTCACTCACACATGTATAAATATACGCGTCAGAAGGAGCACAACTTGAAGCGGATTGTTTCTCCACTAGACAACGTGTACAAATATAGTACTTGTATATATCGTCATTAGTAAACAGACCGTTTATTAAAGAATGTCTCATATATTATCACTACGTATCTATATCTTTTGCTTACAATTACGCGTTTGATAATACCTTGATTATCTAATCCTTCAGTAAAATGTCGGTTTTAAGAGGTGATAAGTCTTAATTCGGACACTCAGCATATGATCTCATCAATGCTTTTCCCAAAGAGATTTTGATACAAATGATGAGGCATTATTGATGAGACCCATTGTTTTCATTATCAAAAATAACTCATTTTTTTCAAAAAAAAAAAAAAAAAAAGAGCTTTACGTTTTAAGTGATCTTTTTATCCTTTTTTTTTCAGCCTTTAACATTCACTTTCCAGTTGATAGACAAAATATGATTAGAATATATCTTTAGCTTTTAAAAAATCATGGGAACAATCTCCTGTATGTCAACAAATGCTTAACAACCTCTTCTTAAAAAGGTTAGTTTGAAAAAGTAACTTTATCTATTAACTATGTTGCTCGGTATCTGAATACTCGGAATAAGAAATCAAGAGTACAGATAACTAAGCAAGATAGGGCAAGAGAGGAAAGATAAGTATATGTCTCTGTGTGTGTCTGTGTATGTATATATAGGCGTGTACATATCAATATGATAAATAAAGAAAAACTGGTTAAATAAAGCATTCACCAAGCATGCCCTTTCAATTATAGTACCGCATAGCTGGTTTTAGTTGACGCTGATTGCAGCGTAGACCCCTTTTTTTTTTCTCACATCATAATAATATCTCCGAAAGTTTTGCTTTGTAAAAATATTTTTTCTATTAAACAATGCACTAAAAATTATGAAAGCGTAAAATAGAGGAGGAGCACAGTTAGGGCTCTTATTTGAGATGCCGATGGATCGTATACATGTCTCCTTCTTCTTTTTTTGATGAGCTTGTAGTAGCAATTAAGGTTGCTCCTCTGGATTCTTGGGGCTAACATGAGTTGCCTCAAGCTTCTTTTCAATATCTTTCAAGACTTTATCAGTATCAACAGGTCTGGCACCCCCGAATGGATCAGATTTGGGAGTTTTGGCAGGTGCGTTGGCAGCACTGTCGGTATTATCAGTTGAGCGAGGCTTCAAGTTAAGACGAGGTCTTTCAGCTTGACGATCACCACCAAAACGATCACCACGGTTGAAACCTCCACGACCACCGAATCCACCGCGTGAGCCATATTCACGACGAGGCGCTTCAGAGAATTCAAGAGGTTCCTTGCGACGCCAGGAATCAACATCAGTACGGTCTGGCTGACGAACACGGTCAGTTTCACGTGCTATAGGGGGTATCAATAGATTAGCATCAATAATACATTTCATGAATAAACACTTACGAGGTTCGGCTACACTAATACGGATGCTACGTCCATGAATGCTTTCTCCAGAGAATTCCAAGGCTTTTTTAAGGGAGTCCAAATCTTCGAATTCGACATAGCCAAATCCCTTGGGTCTTTCCGTCTGACGGTCACGGAGAAGGCGGATGCTGACAATCTTTATAAAAGTTTATCATCTTTTTCTCTTTTTATTTCCCTTTCTTCTTACCTTTAAGTCAGCGAATAATCCAGCCAAGTCATCTTCTGTAGCATCAAATGACAAGCTAGCAATGTGTGCAGTGTATGGAGGCTTGGTAGGAAGTTCAACAGGTGCACGAGGAGTGAACTGACGTTCGCGTTGTTCAAAGCCTCTGCGCTCATGACGTTCTACTTGAAAATAATGGTACATTTTTTTGTTCATGTCTATTCATTATATATTTACCACTGCCACGGCGACCACCAAATCCACGAGGGCCACCAAAACCTTTATCGCTATTTCTGCGTTCGGATCTTTCGAAAAATCCACGATCTTCATCATGGTATCCACGAGATTCATTTCTGCTTTCTCTTGCTAGTATTTAAATGTTAAATAGAGCAATATATATAATCGGCTGTATATCGGCTTACAGGCAGCTATTGTACAGGTTAATAAATGTTTTTGTCTCAGGTATAAAGTAAAATTCAACTACGTACGAGCAGTAGGAAGTTCAACAACATCGTCAGCCCAAGAGCCACCAGTAGCTATTATAAACAAAAAGAAAGAAAGAAAGAGTGATTAACTTGATCAGTTCTTTCAAGCAATTCTTCTCTAATTTACTTGACGTACTGTCATCTGCTAAAAAGTCAGACAGTGACATCTTTTGAGCCTTCTTTTTTCCAGCTGTAATTGAACTAGTTTAGTTATTGTCTACACATAAACATTTATTTAAACTTACACATTCTTTAAACTATTTTATTTTATTCTTGTATAAAAAAGAAATACAAAAAAATACTCTAATCTGATGCGGTCTTTTAAACAACGGTTGGTAACTGATTGTTTCCCTCGCTTGATTCTTTTGGTTATTATGTACTTCATAGACAAAAAAGTATCATGTTTAAATTCTGACTGTTTAAAAAAATAAGCTCTCAAACTGGACATTTATGCCATAGTATCCTTTTAAGTCTCTGGCTACCTCTTTTCTTTACCAAAAGAATAATTGTTTTGAAAAATTTTGGGTGGCGTTCATGCATAGAATACAATAAAAAGCTGTCACAGTGTCATTAAAATAGAGCAGGTAGTCAACCGTTTGTAGGTCATCACTGTTTAGAATAAAGCATTACTTGATATCTGTCTCTTTACTTGCTTTTAAACATAAACAAACCATTGTTGAGCGCCTTTTAAAGGGCTATTGGTTGCGCTAGCACAATCGATATAGATAGTATTGTCGTCTTCCTTTGATGACCTGAAGAGTCTCAATACACTATTTTGACTCTCACATTTTTTATCCTTGAGCCTAAAGGAGGTTCTTTAGTTTCTCTTTTCTTTGTCTCTGACCTCGTTCAGGCAAGTATTGCAACACTCAACAAGGCATTATGTTAAAAGGAGAGCTCATGGATTGTTAATTTAAAAACTTTTTATTGAAGAGTTTCTTCTGCAAGTCGTGTCTTCTTTTCGATTTCTTCCATTTCTTCTTGCAGAGCTGAACGTTCTTCCATCATTCGTTGGATAGTAATATTCAACTCGTGCAAACGCGAGATGTAACAAGCATGTGAATTGAGTTTGCGTACCGTTTCCAGCTTGGATGAAAGGAAGTGGCAGAAGAAGGAGAGACGAAGTGGGTGATTGACATTACCTAGTGTGCCGCCTCACTGCCATCTTCTCATCTGGCTGGCATTACCAGGCATTAACCGCCAGCCACAATGATGTCCCTTCCCACAAAAGTATGATAGAAGGAGCTTGCGGCCCACCGATTTGGGAAGTGAAGAAATGCCGCACTAAAACGAAAGTGAGTTAACAATCTGTTTTCTACTTTAATCGTTACTTACTTTGCAAAGGCACATTTGGCTACGTGTAGATGAACGATAACAAGTGTCCATTTAACATATTTACCAGGAAGAAAAAAAGAGAAAAAGGTTATTTTTACAAACGACATCATTAAGCTGTATGGCGACTATCTCTGAAACGACCAACTGAAGCCTTCGAAATAGATTTAAAACAAAAGGAACGAGAAGCTCACGCTATCAAAAAATTAAAACATTAAAGTGGTACTTTTCCCCAACTCTCTTAGTATATTATGTATACAATATATTTCCCAATGTTCATATCCTATGTTCAGGACACTTTTTATAAATAATCTCACTAAAATAAAAACACTGATTTATCGACCAATATCGTTTAATCTGTTTATATAAATTTTTAACTAGAGACTCATAAAGATGAACGACTAATCGGAAACCAGGTTCAAAGTATAAATCTGAAAGTAAGGCAAAGACAATCGTTATGGTGCATGTCACCTATAACACTCACATTCAGCCTTCGCAGAATGTGGTGTATTCCTAAAAGATATTTTTAATGAGTAGTAAATCTAAAGAATTAATAGCCAATGTGGCTTCTTTGAATTGTAATAGCTTAATTAATTCACATTCATATATACAAAACTAGTTATTTCAGTTACAATAGCTCTCAGTCGATTTAATGGTCGCATAAAGTTTACTTGATCAGTACACATATCTCATCATGGTGTGTGTTACGTTAAGACAGCTACTAACCCTCTTTTGTAATTAACCCTCATTGTTTCTGTCAAGAGTAAATAAAAGTGCTATCATTGGATTTGTAGTAAAAGAAACAACTATGATAACTAACCAGACGACTATTAAGAATCCCGAGTGTAAATTTTGGCATCAGTGTTGATCAGTGAAATAGGACGCCAATTTTGTAGATCGGACAAATCGCCACATTTTGGAAGCAGGGACACACTGGTCTCCTGTCAGGAAGGAGAAACAGAGCAGAGTTATAGACTGCCAGAACAATTTCCCGACAAGCTGGATGGGCAGATGATTATACGTAAGATTTCATATGATAGGCCGCCCGGCCTTGGGCTACTACGTTTAGGACAACAGGAAATGCCTTCTAAAATGCCATCATACGTGATAGGTGAGATCAGCATAGTTTGCGCTGTTTCAGACAAGTATAAATTCTCGAGCAAGAACCTTAACAAGGAATCAATAGAAGATAGGTCAGCAGAGTCAGGTAAGTATAAAGTGGAATAAAATGCCGCTACTATATCTAGCATTTCTCCCTTAGTGGTATTGATAGTTTGACTGTTGGGGTGCAAAAGAGAAGGAATCATACGACGTGTTGCGCGTGCTGCAGCTGTACGCTTGAAGTTCTCCCCAGAGATAGTTCACCTGATTCACGCCAGCAGATACCTGCATCAAGAGATAGAGTTTTTGTATGATATTGCTGAATATTGGACAACTGAGCTTCTACAATAGTGAGTTGTAGCTGTATAAAGGTAGCAGTTTCAGGAGAAGAGCTTCAAATTTATGTCACGCATTTCAGAGGCTACTATTATTCAATCGCCGCACAACACAACGTCACACTTGCAATTTCAAAATGCGCTTGGCAGCGGGGACAAGAAAGAGAGCTATTTTTCTTTTTTCTTCTTCTCACAAATCCAATGGCTGACTCATTTTGTTCTTCAATATCAGAGATAGTCACTCAACGTATAATTCAAAGCTCAGGTTTCGAGTCAGCAACAAATCAGTCTATTCATGTATTGAGCGATGTGCTTAGACAATACCTGGAACTTTTAGGATCTTATGTCTCGGCTTATGCGAATTTAAATGGAAGAACCATCGGGAACGCGTGGGATTTGATCGATGCTATGGAAGATCTATATATCACACCCGACAGCTTAAGAGAGTGGCTTGACAAAGAAGGCAAGCAACTTTCGCCTTGCTGGGCTGCTCAGTCAGATCCAAGCCGATTATTGGAAGGAACTGTTAGAAAGGGTAGACATAACTTTGAAGATATTATCGAATACAACTTTCAATCGATTCCAGAGTTTGAACTATGCCCAGAGTCACCGCCTATAGAAGAACCGCTTTCACCTACACCGACTTACTCTACAACATTACCACAATATATCCCTCCTTTCCTTCCGGCATTTCCAGAGATAAAAGAAGATGGTGTCGTGGAGGAAGAAAATGGTCCAGCCATCGATAAATCTTTGAAAGAAAAGGCAATTCAGTCCATGATACCCCAAGTGAAGGCAGCGTCTGTCGAGTCACTGCCACCTCCATTGATTGTTAAAAACAAAAAGAAACCTGTGGACAATCCATTTACACACATTGTACCCTTTGAGGAGTCGATTTTAGCAGCTGAAGCAAATATTTCACAGCAGCCGCTTTCTCTCGCCATTGAGCCTGCCGACCTTTCGATCAAGGAAGTGAGTACGCCTGAGAAGGAGCCACCTAGAAAGAAGGCACGTTTACCTGCACTGAAAGGACTATCAAATACAAATAGCACAGCTTTGAAGCTGGGTGAAGGCATTGTCGGTCATGACGAGCTCTTTAGAATACAGACAGAGAATGAAGCAGCACCTGGAAACCATATGTTTGATAGAGATATTGGCGTCTTTGAGGAAATTGTCAGAAGTGTGACAGATCCGTTATTACTGCCTAGATTAACAACACCCAATTTACTCATTGATGTGGCTACTACGGGTACCACATCCGTTCCTGCTACGCCTACAACACAACATACGATGAATGATCAACATTCAGTACCATCATCTCCACAATCATCAGCATCTAACGATATCACTAGACCAAACAAAGCATCCATGTTGGCTGCCTTAGCATCTAGTAAAGCAGGCTTGAAGAGATTAGGACGACCTTTATCACCAATGTCACTTTCAGAATTTGCAAATGCAAAAGCAAGTACAGGAAGTGTGGATATTAATAATATGCAAAAGACTGGTGACAGTAAATACATTATAAAGAAAAAGAAGATGCTACTACAACAGCAACTGTTACAGCAGCAACAGCAATTACTTTTACAGCAACAACAACAACAGCAGCAGCAGCAGCAGCAAGGGCAACAAGGACAAAATCAGCAAATTCAACTAATGCAACCATCACCCTCAGATTCTCAAGTACCTCAGCAGGATACTCAACAGAATATGGAGGAGATAAAAGAAATAAATGTGTGATTATAGTACTGTCTGTGTTAACTTGCACCTCCTTTTTAAAAGCAGTCTTAATAAACACATAAATACACTGCGCTTAATAGTTTTTTTTTGTTAAAAACATTGTAAGCATTAGTGGAGTATTAGCAACATCAACATACTCCCAAAAGCACTGTTTGCAAAAAATGTTCTGCTCCTTTGTGAGAACCGGTGGCTATGTCCGCTAAGGATCTATTTTCCTTTACTAACGGCTCAATGATTGCCCTAAAGAGAAGATAGCCGTCGTTATAACCGATCCTCTTAGCACTGGACAATGTGCACTTATTGTTTGTGGCGTTTTCCCAGGATTTCACGCTTTAACTATCTGTATCAAAAGTCTCGTGTGTATGTGCTAGTTTGGAATAAGACAAACAAATAGATAGAAATAGACAAGTCACAATGACGATCCCAGAAAGCTCAAAAAAAAAGTTCTCTTTTTGATTATTCAAATAAACATGTCAGAATTAGCTATTAATGTAGAATTCAGGTAAAAATGAATAAAAGAAAGATGATTATAATTCCAACATCTTCTAGTGGAGGAATGGAGCTCTTATTTAACAATGTGAGCAAGCATACCGTACGTTTACCAGCCACACAGAGCTCAGGACAACGTTCTACTCTTCAAGACTTAATATTTTACATTCGAGATAATATGATGACTGAAAAGAAGGACTTGTTTGTTGAAAAAGATACAGTGTAAGAAAAAAAATAATAATAAACATGCTATAAACATAAGCTGACATCATGCAAACAGTCGCCCTGGAATCTTGGTCTTGATCAATAATACTGATTGGGAATTATGTGATGAATTAGAATATCAATTAGAGGATAAGGACGAGATTGTCTTTATTTCTACTTTACATGGAGGATAAAAGGAAATAGTGATAACGAAAATAAATAAGGATACATATATTAAATTTTAATTTTAGAACAGTTGTAAAAGCCTTCTAGATGCTTAATATCACTATGGCAACAATGAGTCCACCGACTTTATAGTTCCACACAAAAATTATTTTAAATTCCTCTTTTTCTCAGTTCGAGCTCTGTGATTCTTTCTTTCTTTCTCTCTCTTTTTTTTTTATTTCTTTCTTCTCTTATTTTGTACTACTTTTCATAAACAATACAAACATCACTCTCTTTATATCATTAAATGGATCCACAAGCATGTACTGCTATTATATTAAAGCAAGCCGATCCATTTTATATATCAGATACTATCATTCAAAATGAACAAGACATAACCATGAATGTGTTATCAACCATATTCGGCCATGGTATGTTCAACCAACTATTGTGTGATCCTATAAGCTAATAGTATCAATAGTTCACCAAGAAACTAAGCTTGACTCCTGTATGAATTACATCAAGTTAATGTCTTCATCATCAGCCATTCTTTTAGTTGATTTTGACAATTCTATTGAACCCAAGGCACAAATTGAGATTGTCACTCAAGTTGTAAATAGACTTTCAGAAACAAATATACCTGTTATTGGTAAATAATAATCACTTAATATAAATAATGGACAACAGTAATAACCAAATAAGCATATAGTATGTTCTACCAATGATGATTCACAATTTATGATCGAATGCATTCAAGCTGGTGCTGCAGATTATCTACTGCATCCACTACGACCTGATGTGATCAAAACATTATTTTTGGTAGATATATATAATGGATCTATTTTATTATTAGTATCGCTCACACACATCTTTAATATATACAGGTTCTTTATCGACAAAAAGTAGATTTATATCAAGACCACCTCATCTCTTCAAGTACAACCCTTAGTACTTCTTCAGTCATGTCACCAACTACACCTACTGCTCAACCTTCACATCATCACTATCACCCTTCTTCGGTATATTTACCGGATAGTATTCATGAGAGGATGAAACAATTGATTACCAAAGATATAAAGTAAATTACAGCCCTTTTTCCTTTTTTTTTTTAATTCACTTACCCTTTTTTACTTTAGCTTCATATTGGATACTTACACAGTATCATCCATGTCAGCTTCTACACTTAGTACATCAACTGGTTCTTTTCTTATGGGATTAACCAGGTATGTGATCATTCCCATGTCTTTCTATCGTCACTCATCCTACTCTCCCTAAAGTGAACATAAAGAAAACTTGAAAAGGAAAGTATCTTTATGGGATTTTAGTCCTCTAAACCTCTCACATCAAGACTTGATTCATTGTGTGGTCATCATCTTGAGTCAAGCATTTTTACTACCAAATATGCCAACAATGAACCCAGGTTAGTCTAGTCGATTTTGGTCACTTTATGTATTGACCCCCCTTCTTTTTTTTATGTAGAGCAACTCTATGATTTTGTCATTGATTTATCCAATTTATATCATGACGATAATCCTTACCATAACTTTTCTCATGCAGTAGATGTACTTCAGTGTATTTATTACTTTTTATGTCATATCGGATTACTATCATTTGCTGATCCAACCATTCAACCCAACAAGCCTCAATGTGACAAGGGATGTATATTACGACCTATTGATATATTCGCTCTCTTGATTGCTGCTATTGGCCATGACACTGGCCATCCAGGTGTAAATAATGCATTTTTGGTAAATTGAATGGCAAAGATAGAGAGATGCATCAAATACTGATCATGTACATAGATAAATACTTCGGCTCCTTTAGCATTATTATACAATGATCACTCAGTCTTGGAAAGTTTTCATGCAATGACTTTATTTCAATTATTAAAAAAGCATGGATTTGATACCTTTTTAGGTGGCACAGACTCAATAAAATATAAAGGTATACACACACACACGCCTGCTCTACCTATGTCCTCTTACTAATAGAAAATACAAAAGACTTTAGAAAACTGGTTATTACAAGCATACTCGCTACAGACATGGCACTGCATAGTGATTATGTCACAAAGATCAAGGAGCAAACAAAGCGCTTGATGGACAGCGATCCCAAAGATTGGGATGAATCAAGGAGACTTGAAGAAAGATTACTCTTTTGCAGCGGTTTAATGAAGTGTGCAGATATAAGCAATGTGGTAATTATTTTTACAATATTACAATCATATAGGTTGTAACACCTTCTTATTAATTTAGGCTCGTCCTTTTCCTCGTGCATTTGAATGGGCGCAAATTTTAGTTGAAGAATTCGCTTGCCAGGGCGATCTAGAACGTGAACTGGGGTTACCTGTGATACCCATGAACGACAGAGCAAAGATCGTGTTGGAAGATAGTCAGATTGGTTTTATCAAATTTGTAGCGCTTGGACTGTTTGAGAGTATCCAAGGTTACATGCAAGGTAAATTAGTAATAATTGGCTTGAACACCCAAACTGACTTTTTAATAGATTTATCATTCCCTGTAGAATATATCAAACGAAACTTGTCTATTTGGGAAGAAAGAAAGAAAGAATCATTTGACAAGGAACATCAAATCACTGAGGAAACAGCCATCGTTCAGTCAACGATTGTAGAGGACGAAAAGGACTATAGACGCGCACTCAATAATGAATCAGATTCAGAATATAAATTACCAGCTATGCCTGCTGTAGCCATGACGAGTCTCTCACATATATATCCAAAAGAAATATCCCATGATCAGCATCAAGAAGATTGGAATCAATCAGCTCAATCATCTGGGCCAGTCTACTGTCATTGTATTATTCAATAGTCTTTCTTTCTTTTTTACCTTCTTGTATAGATATTATTATAGATTGTATATTTTATTATTACTACCCCCCCTTTTTACACCCTTTTCTATATTTTATTCTTCATTTGACATCTTGTTCATTCCTTCAATCACATATATACACACTCTCTCCCTCCTTTTTCTTGTCGTTTGCCCATATGTTTATGTATAATAATAGTTAATACTATTTGGACTTGTTGTATAGATTATTTCCACTATGTACAGTCTCTACCAGAAAAGCAAAATATATTGCTATTGAAAATAAACATTGATCGTCTCTCCCCTTTTTTTTTGTTACAATATAGATATTATTGATTGATTATTATTATGCCTTGAGATTTTCATAAGATTTTAAGCTCTGAGATTATCTGGAGGCATCTATGCGCACCTTTAGTATTACACGATAGAAAAATAGGAGAAAGTAGAATGAAGGCTGTCAATCATAGCCAATTTTGATAAGCTTAATAGAAAAAAAAAATACAATATAGTCTTCATATAGTAGTGAAATAGAATGTTCTTTGATAATGCATATATTTATTATGGAAATATTACGGACAAGTCCTTTAATGTGCACATCAAACACTGGACACGATTAATAGTTTATTATTGCACTCTTAAAAATAAAATAAACGTCCATTCTGTTCAAAAGTATAATGCATACATCAAGACAATGATTGACTAACTATAAATATCGTACTTTTAGTTCTCATGCATAAAGTGGGCGTAAAACCTGTTTAAGTGTAAACAGATAACAAAAAAAAAAGTCAAGTTATTATTTTCATTTTTATTTTTCATTTATATTCATTTGATCTACAAAAGGAGACAGTTTCGCAGTGCCTGTGATCCAGGCCAGACAACTGGTCAAACCAGTCTAGAAAGAAAAGATCATCCCGTCTCCCTAAGCCTTACCCCTAAATAACCGCCGCACGACTCGCGCTTCAGCGCGCATTAAACTACCCAAAATAGCTTTTGGTTCGATACCGCCTAGCAATAGCATAAGCATTTTTTCAAGTAGCCACACTTAGAAGGCACGACCCTCACAGAATACAGAGCGTGCTTTTTAATTGCTAGGAGATCCATGGCATCCTTTCCGTGGCAAACATCCAGTATTCTGCTTCCCCTTGAATCACCAACAAGGAAGTGCTAGGCTACAACGTAGGGCAAAGCGCGTGGTGCGCCTTCCGGATACCGTGAATTGACTTGCAACCGAACATAGAAGCGAGCGTTGCTTTGATTGAGTAGGCATAATAAGGAAGAAAAGAAAAGAAAAGAAAAAAGAAAAAAAAAACGGGAATGGATGCTTTTGTAAATATTCTAAATCAAGGTTTAATCAAGTGACCGCCTTTCACACCTTCCGCATCTAAAGCGTAGCTCTGGACTTTTACTAATGGTTGGCGCTATCTTGAATAAAAGCAGTTTTACTGTCAATGTCTAATGTAATAAATAAGCAAGTCTGCATGGAAGCGTTTGCTTCTAAAATTCGAGGTATGAAAGAGAGCTAGTAACAATTATGAGCTTGATTTTTTAAGAAAGAGTATTTTGAAGCCATGTTAGTGTTCCTAAAATAATGAATTTACCAAACATGTCTCCTTCACTATGAAAAAGAGCATCACGATATGCCCATTAAAACAAGCTTTTTCATTACACTTGGCACTGGCAAAACTATTCGTCAAATAGCAAGATCCTGTCAAAATAAAGGCTTGTATTATATGACCGTTTAAGGATGAGCGTAGTTCCTTTTCTCTAATATTCTCACCATAAACTTTAGTCATCATCCCTTAGCTTTCTCTTTGTAGTAGTTAGCCATCAATCATGAACTAAAATGAAAACTCTGTCGCTGTCTTTAAGCCTCTGAAACATTTGGATCTGGGAAAAGCCCAGAGGAACGATGCATAGGACATGCCAAAGCTTGAGAAAAGGAGAATATTCAATACCGTAAGCCAGCCTCTGATAGACAGTGATCGCTGTGTGTAGATAGCACAAGCTGTCTTAATCTTGAGCAATAATTGGCCAACAAAAACTTTCCTTTGAGCCACATTAGTACTATGTTTTTATTAATTATTGACGTTAATTTTATAAAATATTCACTATTAACATTCCATTTTTTTCAGGATATGTTTCATACATTTTGAAAGCGAAAAAGCAACCTGCCAAGTATATTACGAATATGAAAATTTTGTATATGAAGGCGAAGAAGTTTTTGCCTAGCTTGTGATCGATTGACCTTCTTTTTTTAAAAAAAAAAAAATAAACTCCCTTTCTCTCTATCTCTTACGCTGAAGCTAGTTTTTTGATTTTTATTATGGTTTGGTGCACTGAACTTTGAACAATACTTGTGTTAACACAGTCAGTTATACTCTTATAGGTGTCCTTTGTTTTCTTTACTTTATGACACCAAAGAAAAGGAATTTATTTATATATTAAATAACACCATCAATGGGTTATCTTTTGGAGAAACACTTGTCAACTTTACAATGGCCTTAGGAATAGCGTCCGAAAAAAAAAGTAACTTTTTCATGTTAATAATATATTTATATATAATAGGAAATAAAGAGGGCACTCACGCCTTATGTGTAAGCAGTTAGACTTTTTTTTACGTTTTTGATTTAACATAATAGAATATTTTGATACTGTATTTTTATTATTTATATTATATTTATAAATTTACACAATTTAATTACATACTTCAATGGCTTCAACAATACGTTGCTGAATACCACCAGGAACTGGCAAGTAAGTGTTGCCCATCAGATCAGCATCTACTTCACGAGCACATTGTCTTCCTTCATTAATACCCCAAACAATCAATGATTGACCACGGCGACAGTCACCAGCAGCATAGACACCAGGAACAGATGTGCTGTACTTGGACTTGGGTGTTTCAATGTTGGAACGGACATCTTGCTTCAATTCGAGCTGCTTGATCAGGCTAGTCTCTGGGCCCAAGAAGCCCATGGAGAGCAAGATAAGATCGGCTTCAAAGAATTGTTCAGATCCAGGAACTTCCTTCATAGACCATTTGCCGTCTTCAGATTTGATCCATTCAACACGAACAGTTTCAATACCAGTTAATTTACCATCAGCATTACCCACAAAGCGCTTAGACAAGACACAGTATTCACGAGGATCGCGTCCGGTTTGAGCAATGACTTCAGAGTGACCGTAATCGACCTTGAAGACTCTAGCGAACTGTGGCCATGGGTTATCAGGTGCACGTGTGTTGGGAGGTTGAGGAAGCAATTCAAAGTTGACAACAGACTTACAGCCATGACGAAGAGAGGTACCGATACAGTCATTACCTGTGTCACCGCCACCAATAACAATAACATGCTTATCCTTAGCAGAGAGGTATTGACCGTCCTTGAGGTCACTGTCCAAAAGAGACTTGGTATTGGCTTGTAAGAACTCCATGGCAAAATGAATACCATCCAATTCACGACCAGGGATCTTGAGATCGCGTGGCCAGGTAGCACCAGTAGCAACGATCAGAGCATCGTTTTCTTCACGAATAGCGTTGGCATCAACGTCAACACCAATATGAGCATTGGAAACAAATGTGATGCCTTCAGCAGCCATGAGGTCAATACGACGTTGAACAATCTTCTTGTCGAGCTTCATATTGGGGATACCATACATCAAGAGACCACCCATACGGTCATTACGATCATAAACGGTGACAAGATGACCAGCCTTGTTCAATTGATCAGCAGCAGCTAAACCAGCAGGACCAGAGCCAATGATGGCAACCTTCTTACCAGTACGTTGAGCAGGAGGCTGGGCAACGATCCAACCTTCTTGGAAGGCACGGTCAATGATGGCACATTCAATGCTCTTGATAGCAACAGGAGGTTCAGTAATACCCAAAACACAAGCATTCTCACAAGGAGCAGGACAAACTCTGCCTGTGAATTCAGGGAAGTTGTTGGTCATCAAAAGACGATCAAGAGCTTCCTTCCAGTTATCCTTGTACACAAGTTCATTCCACTTGGGAATGATGTTACCGATGGGGCAACCAGTGTCAGATTGACAGAAGGGAACGCCACAGTCCATACAACGAGCAGCTTGTTCATGAAGTTGGCTACGAGTCAAGCGATCGTTGATTTCTTCCCAGTCACCCAAACGCTTCTTAGCATCACGGTAGCGGTCAGTTCTGCGCTTGTACTTCATGAAACCACGGACCTTATCCAACTTGGCACGACGGGCAAGAACAGCTTCTTCGGCCAAGACACTGTCTTCAAGATCTTCAACCTGAGGCTCAGCCTTCTTCTTGTGAATTTCTTCGCAAGGCTTAGGAGCAGCAGCAGCATTCTTTTCAGCACGTTGCTTTTCCAAAAGAGCACGGTATTCAGTAGGCATGACCATGACGAACTTGGGAAGATATTCATTAAAGTTCTTGAGCACACGATCAGCGACTTCAGAGCCAGTGTAGTGACGGTGGTCCTCAATCAGATCACGTAATTCAGCGATACGTTCTTCATCATTGACAGTATCAAGTTCAACCATTTCCAAGTTGACATTCTTCTTGAATTGATCATTGACATCCAAGACATAAGCGATACCACCAGACATACCAGCAGCAAAGTTACGACCGGTGCTGCCGAGGATGACAACACGACCACCTGTCATATATTCACAACCGTGATCACCAACACCTTCACAGACAGCATGAGCACCAGAGTTACGTACACAGAAACGTTCAGCGGCAATACCACGGAAGAAGGCCTTACCACTGGTGGCACCATACAAACAGACGTTACCAACAATAACATTGTCTTCAGACTTGAAGGTAGATGACTTGGGAGGATAAATGGCGATTTTACCACCAGAAAGACCTTTACCGACATAATCGTTTGAGTCACCTTCCAATTCAAAGAAGATACCAGGAGCAAGGAAGGCACCAAGAGATTGACCAGCAGATCCCTTCAACTTGATGTGGATCGTATCGGAAGGTAAACCGTTTTCGCCATGACGCTTAGAGACATGATAAGAGAGAGTAGTACCCAAGGCACGATCGGTGTTGACAACATCAGCTTCAATGTAGACCTTTTCCTTGTTAGTCAAGGCACTTTCAGCTTCTTCAATAAAGTAATTGTCCAAACGAATGTGGAGATTATGCTTCTGCTTGGTGACACAGTAGTTGGCAACGTTAGGACGAAGAGAAGAGGCAGGTGTCAAGATGGGAGACAAGTCCAAGTTGGCAGTCTTGAAGGTACGAAGGGATTCGTTGACCTTGAGCATGTCAGCACGGCCGACCATTTCATTAATTGTACGGAAACCAAGCTTAGCCATGATGCTACGTAATTCTTCAGCAAGGTAGTAGAAGAAGTTGATGACGTGTTCAGGAGAACCTTCAAACTTCTTACGCAACTCGGGATCTTGAGTAGCAATACCGACAGGGCAAGTGTTCTATAATAGAATTAATACGAGCACTTTAACACAGACAATATAAATTACTTACCAAGTGACACTTTCTCATCATGATACAACCAAGAGCGATAAGAGGTGTAGTAGCAAATCCCCATTCTTCGGCACCAAGTAAACAGGCAATAGCAATATCACGACCTGTCTTGATTTGACCATCTGTCTGAACGATGACACGACCACGCAAGTCGTTAAGAACCAAGGTCTGATGAGTTTCAGCAAGACCCAATTCCCAAGGAAGACCAGCGTACTTGATACCAGTCCATCGAGAAGCACCAGTACCACCATCGTGACCAGAGATAAGAATATGATCAGCCTTAGCCTTGGCAACACCAGCAGCAACAATACCCACACCGACTTCAGATACAAGTTTGACAGAGACACGAGCGCGAGGGTTAGAGCACTTCAAGTCATAGATCAGTTGCTTCAAGTCTTCGATAGAGTAAATATCGTGGTGAGGAGGAGGAGAGATAAGACCAATACCAGGAGTTGTCTTTCTGGTGCTGGCGATTTCTTCAGACACTTTGCTACCAGCCAATTCACCACCTTCACCAGGCTTGGCGCCTTGAGCCATCTTGATCTGCAGTTCATCAGAGTCAGAGAGGTAGAAGCTAGTGACACCAAAGCGACCAGATGCAACTTGCTTGATGGCAGAACGCATGGACTCACCATTGTCAAGAGGCTTTGATCGCTCGGGCTTCTCACCACCTTCACCTGTGTTGGATTTACCTCCTAATTTGTTCATGGCAAGAGCCAAGGAAGAGTGGGCTTCCATCGAAATAGAACCATAAGACATGGCACCAGTGACAAAGCGCTTGACAATCTTGTCCCAAGATTCGACCTGATCAATAGGAATAGACTTGGCATTGTCATAGTCAAAATCGAGCATACCACGGAGAGTACACTTCTTGATGGCTTCATAAGCATTGCGAGAGTAAGCATCATAAGAGGATTGATTCTTTTGACGAACAGCATCTTGGAGGTTAGCAATACCATTAGGTTCAGCAATGTGAGGAGCACCACCATCACGCCAGTGGTATTCACCAGATTCAGGAAGGCCAACTGGCTGAACAGTGTTACGGCTAGGATAACCAGTTTCATGAAGAGTGAGCGCGTCCAAGGCAAAGATGTCAAAGGTGACACCCTTGATACGAGAAGCAGTGCCGGAGAAGCAGCGAGAGATGACACTGTCATCAACACCGAGAGCTTCAAAGATTTGGGCACCCTTGTAAGAGGCTAAGGTAGAGATACCCATCTTGGACATAACCTTGAGAATACCATTGTCGATACCCTTCTTAAAGTTATAGATGAGCTTCTCAGGTGTCAAACCTTCATGAACAGCCTTTTCGCGGCAAAGCTTGACCATAGCTTCCATAGCCAAGTAAGGACAGACAGCATCAACACCATAACCCAAGAGAACACAAAAGTGGTGGACTTCACGGGCTTCACCGGTTTCAACCATCAAGGCAATACGACTACGTTGCTTGCTACGAACCAAGTAGTGATGAACACCACCAGCAGCGATCAAGGAAGAGATGGCCACACGCTCAGCGTTCACAGCACGATCAGAGAGAACAATGATCTTGTATCCGTCATCAATAGCGGTAGAGACCTCCTTACAGATGCGCTCCAGAGTATTGACGTAGCCTTCAACGCCTTCAGACTTGGCAAAAGTGATGTCAATCGTCTGAACCTTCCAAGAAGGATGGACATCGGACATGGACTTGATAGCAGCCAACTCTTGCATAGAAAGAATAGGAGAAGGCAAGGCTAATTGATGACACTGGCTTTCATCCATTTCCAAAATGTTACCCTTGGGACCAACGTAGCACTCAAGCGACATGACGATTTCTTCACGAATAGGATCAATGGGAGGATTAGTGACTTGAGCAAAAAGTTCACGGAAGTATTCGTAAATCAAACGAGGTTGCTCGGCAAGACAAGCGAGAGCAGTATCATTACCCATAGAACCCAAAGGCTCCTTACCAGTAGAAGCCAAGGGAACCATGATCAAGTTGAGTTGTTCCAAGGTGTAGCCAAAGGCCTTGAGACGAGGATCGGCCTGAACAGTGGTTTCATCAAGAGCAGGAATTTGTTGTACTTGATCTGTTTTTTCAACAATGTCCTTGAGAACAATATTTTGGTTCTTGATCCATTCCTGGAAGTTGCGCTTAGCAGCGGTTTGAAGTTTGAGCTGCTTGTCATCAACAATGATGCCTTCGACGGTATCTACCAACAGCATACGGCCGGGCTTCAAACGACCCTTTTCGACAACCGTTTCGGGATCAATGAAAACAGTACCAACCTCAGAAGCACAGATCATGATATCGTCAGAAGTCAAGTAGTAACGGCAAGGACGAAGACCGTTACGATCCAAGGAGGCACCACAGTAACGACCGTCAGAGAAGGTGAAAAGAGCGGGACCATCCCAAGGTTCCATGAGAGAAGCAGCCCATTGATAAAAGGCTTTGACTTCAGGACTCATTTGTTCATGGTTCTGCCAAGCTTCGGGAATCATCATCATGACGGCTTCAGGTAAGGTCAAGACACCGTTGATGACGAGCAATTCAAGGACGTTATCGAATGCAGCAGAGTCAGAACCGCCTTCTTCGATGATAGGGTAAAGTAAGTCCAGCTCGTTACCAAACTTGTCAGATGCCATTACACCTTCGCGAGAACGCATCCAATTCTTATTTCCACGTACGGTATTGATTTCACCTATAAGCGTAATAAGTACATGACTCTTTACTCTTTCGAGATTACTTACCGTTATGAGCACACCAACGCATGGGTTGAGCACGATCCCAGGAAGGAAAAGTGTTTGTGGAGAAACGAGAGTGAACGAGGGCAAAATGGGTTGTATATTGCACATTGTTCAAATCGTGGAAATAGAGGTAGACCTGCTTGGGAGTCAACTGGCCCTTGTAGACAATATTCTTGTTTGAAAGAGAACAGATATAGAACCATTTCTTCATGGTAAGGGTATGAGTAGCATGCTTGCGAAGGACATAGAGCTGACGTTCGAAGTAGGGTTCATCAAATTCCTTGGATTGATCAGCCAAGACAACAAAAGGCTGTTCGATAGCAGGCTCCTTTGATCTTGCAGCAGGGCCAATGATAGAAGAATCACGAGGGACAGTACGCCAACCGAGTACTTTGAGATGAAGGGCCTCAGCAAGTTGTTCAAATACCTTCTTGCTTTCATCTACGGATTCAGCATCACCCTTCATGAAGAGGTTACCAACAGCATATTGACCTTCGGGAGGTAAAGAGATACCCAAAAGACGGCTTGTTTCATTTACAAAGAATTCATGAGGGATGCCCGTCATGACGCCTGCGCCATCACCATCACGAATATCAGCACCACTAGCACCACGATGGGTCATGTTACATAAAATGTAACTTGCTTCAGATAAAATTTTGTGGGAGCGTACACCTTTGACATGTACCATAAAACCAACACCACAGGCATCTTTTTCAAATTCAGGATTATATAAACCTTGAGCGGGAGGAATAGCACCGGCCCATGACTTGTTTTCGTTGTTGATAGACATTCTTATGTACAATAGAGCTTAATGTAAGAGAGGTTGGAGGGGTATTTATTTAATAAAGAGGGGGAACTTTCTTGTATGTATCTAACTATGTATATATAACAACCAAAAAAAAAAGAGATTTATATATAGGCGTACTCTCTCTTTTCTTGTTTTTTTTATAAAAGAAAATAAAAAATAGGAAAAAATAGGACAAAGGGATATTTATACAAGGTGAAAATTATAGGGCGGTTTCAAAAGATTCTTATCTTTGTCCGTCTCAAACCAATCAACTTTAAATGTCACCTCAATTGATCTTTAGGGTCACATGTCAATCTATTATCGAAAATGCTATCTTTTATATGTTATCAGTCATACTCTATTAATATATTTATGAATATGAGTGTTTAAATATGAGAGATATAAAGGTTTTATATGTTGAAATTTCATTAATTTTATGGTGTAGCCATAAAATAGATTTTATCATTTCTATATAAAAAACACAGATCTTGAATTCTATTCATCCGTTATCTTATCATTTCTTTCCAATTTTCGGATTGCACTACACTAGATATCCATATATAGTAACTTATAGAATATGAAGGTATATTTACTAGCTAAACATCGACAAAAATGAGCTGTAAACAAGTAGATGGTCAATCTAACTCAACTAGCTCGAGATCTTTTTGTTTTCGTGTAGTGTTGACAATAATTTCTAAATTGAGTAACTCTGACTCTTTAGATTTTTCTAACCAATCAAATTCATTCATTCAATCTCTATCAAATAAGATCTATTGTTTTGTATCACAGAATCACTTATCTTCCCATGGCTACCTCTATTCTCTCCCCACATATTCATACAACACACGCTATAAATTCAATCTAACATCGGATAAGGTCGGAAAGGTCTATTTGGCTTACGTTTTACTATTTACTTTTCCTTTGCTTCTTTCTTTCTTTCTTTCTCTTTTACTTGTTTTCTTTATTCATTTTATTACTTTTGAAATCAAATTGAATAGTAAACTAAAATAAAAAGAATCAACAACAATAAAAGTGACTCTTGTGCAGAATTCATATTCGCATTTTTAGATTACACAAGAACCTTAAAAATCGGGTTGTTTTGTATTCATCTTTTATCAGCCTAGGTCATTGGATGATTCCATCATTTTGTGTAATGTAACCATGGCATTTCCGTGACAGTGACGTTACATGATCTTTCGCTATTAGAGCACAGATTCACGTGTATAAATATATACAGCCTTCGCATCTACTAGTTCTTTTATTCTCCTTTTGTGTGCATTATCAGTATGATCTAAGTTCCGCAGTGAAAAGAAAAAAAAAAGGGCAGATTTTCGCACGCAGAATTAAATACAAGACCAAAGCGTCAGTCTGCCTGGTGTTTCGTACAGAAATTAAATAGATAAAGCAGGCGCGGCATTTTGCTGTAATGATCTTCGGTGAAGCGAATTAGCTTAATGCCTTGGTAATTTCGTGTGTATAATACAGAAATACAACAAAAGACTATATAGATTAACAACAAAGTGACCCTTGACAAACTAAAGATCTGGGGTAGTCTCAAGTTTGGGAAAGCATTATTTCTTTTTTTTCGTTTCCCCAACTAAAGTGAAGTTAACAGGACTGCTCTGCTTTCATGAAGTTCATTACACAATTCATTCGAAAATATTAATGACATTCACTTATGGAGCAATATTTCTTCTTGTCTTTATCTTAAGATTGAAAGCAGCACTAAAAAGAAAGAATTTTTAATTCATGAGTGATATTTGTACATTTACAGAGCTTTTTATATTCTTAAAGTAAACGATAAGTGCGAAGATGTAACTTGTACAAGAACAGCAGCTAATCTTTTTAAGAAACATCAGCTCGCCTTCCAGTGATCAATTCAGTGCAATGTTCAAAACATTAATCAATAATGCTTGCATAACTTAACAGATGTTCAATTAGCGATAACGAGATGCATACATTGCACTGCTGGAGGAACTATGAGATTTAATCAAGCTACTAATAAACTAAGGATCATTGTTCTATAAATACGTGGTTTTATGAGACTATTTTTTATATGCAACATACTCACAAATGACCTCATGCCCAGTTGTTCCTGAGTGTGATATTATTGTCGGTACTTTAATCACTAATGTTCATATAAAAAGACATTCTAAGTGTTCTCTCTCTCTTTTTCTTTCTTTCTCTTTTTGATCTGAATAAACAAGTCAACAAGAGACTCATCTACACTGACAGTTTCGATAATCATTTAAATACCTCAGTCATCAAGGACTGAAACAGCCAAGTCCTATTCTCTGAATAATAAGGGTAAATAACAGTCTTAAGGAAACAGCTTTCGTACAAGTTGATAAGGAATATTACCAAATTTGGTAATAGTGAGTAGCACTCGAGCTTCAAAAGAGCTGTGAACCTAACTATAATCTACTTACCCGGCCTTTCTGTAAGCCACTATTTCGACATCTTGATTATAACACTTTTATCTGAGGATTATGAACCATACTATTGTTCATTGTTTGATAGTAACTTTTTTGAATTTTGAATGCTTATTCATTCCTACGCATAAAACAACTAGCAGAGCCTTGCTTTCAAAATGCTACATGCAAGTGTTGTTGTTTGTTCACAGTCTGCATAATAAATATAACACGAGCACTAGATGATACCAATAAACTAAGAATGACACTTCTCCTAACTGCTGTCTTTCAATACACAAACTTGATGCCTTTGAAACTGTAGAACAGGTCTCACAAGATGTCTTATCTACAACGTTTTGTCAAACGTATTACTGTCCTATACACACCATTTATACTAATTACCCTATCATTAGTATGAAAACATGATTATTATGCGTAATGCTCATCATCAAGCTAAATCAATAAGCGCGAGCTGCATTCAAGATGCAGCATGTAAGGGGCGGATAGCACAAGGGCATCTTTCAAAAAGTATCTAATGTCAAACCCAATAAATTAAGAACGCTGTCACAATGGGCTACAATGCAATGGTAATATATTAGGTGTAGGGGCACTCTAATGATAAAAGACAAGTGCTTGTCATGTTTATGAGATATTTTACGCTTTCCCAGGCACATGTGCTCTACTATAGCCATGAACATGTTCACTTTATAGTTTAATTAACCCATTTCTTCTACAAGTATTATTAGTGACACCAAGAATATCCCGGATCGTGTTCTCATGAATGTAGTACTTGTCCAAAGACTAAATCGTGTCTACCAGGCTACGACAAATCATCTACAATACTAACATTTTAAAAAAAAAAAAAAAAAGGAGAGCCATCCGATCTACATTTGAACCAAATAAACAAATAATTGAACTTGCATTAAATTAGTGGATTAATTACCAACCAATATGACATGCGTTTATTATCGAAACAGCAAGAAATGGACGATGAAGAAATGAGGGGGCCAATCTTTACGTTTTAAATTCCGGTCACGATGCTGTTCGTTTACAACCATCATTTACCCTTCTTCCCCCTTGATAGTTGCCCTATATGTACTGTTCTTGATTACTTCTCCTTTTTAACTAAAAGGGTGCTGTTTTCTTATTCGAAGTAAGGGGATGATTCAGGCAACAGCCACGTATGGAAAAAGAAGGAGGGAAGGGTGGCTAGATCGATGTAATTTGTCCTAAAACGGTACATTTAATATTTGCTTAATTACCCTTTATTATCAACATTTGCTAGCCAGAATTATTTTTATCACGCAACTTTTAATCAAAATTTCAAAAAGGGCCCAGGGAGAAGTGAAAAAGGAAATGGAAAAGTACAAGAGTTGGTTTAAGCAAATGACAGGGTAACTCAATGGATCCTAGACTAGGGTACCAAAAAGTACACTCATGCGGGTGCCCTTGAAAATGACTTGTAAGCTTCTCTTTATTAAGTAAATATATAAAGCAAAAGATATTTCATCATTCATCATTCATCATCATTATGCTAATTGTGGTACATGATCGCCCAAAAGAAGAGTAGATGATGTCCGTGTTACTATCATGGAAAAATAAGCACAAGGGTAAGGGCTGATAACAACAAAATGACAGAGCGATAGAGAATGTGTCATGTGAGTAATGCTAAAGTGTTGTCTTGGCTGAACAAAAATGTCGATTTTTCTAAAATTAAAAGTATAAAAATAACTTCACTTTGCTTATTCTTCTTCTTCTTTCTTCAACAATGAAGCTCTTATTCATCTTGATCGCCTTCTTTTATTTGACCTGTGCTATTATTGCAGCACCATCACACTCATGGAATAAAAGACCTCAACAATTCAAAATGCAAGTTTATTCGAGACCATTTAGAAAGGGGACAGTACAAAACATAAGAACATACATTGAAGGTTAGACACATTCTTCACCATGACTTTACATATATCTTATAATAATCATAGGCTCAAAGAAACCATTATGCTGGAATCTATCATCAAAACGAGTCGGCTCTTATGAGGTGAATGATCCTCTAGTCAAAGTCACTCTTTATCGAGTAAGTTTATCCTTTATTTTTATTGGGCTTATCTAACCTGTCTTTTGTTTGGCTGCATTAGTTTTCGGATTGTCAAGGCGCCCCTTCAGCCACTTTTCAAAATTCTGCCCGCCCAAGAGACCATGTGTTGATCAAAGCCAGATCAATTTCCATTACAAAAGTAAAGCCTGTTATCTTACAAAAGCGTTCACGTAAAGAACTATGAAAAAAAGTACTATCCATCTTAATTGCATCTACATTCATAAATTATCTAATCCCTCTCTGTGTAAATAATAAAAACATTCATCACTCTATTCCCACTTTTTTCTCTACCACTGACGTATTTAGTGAAGTCAGTATCCATCTTTGTCTCCATTACCTTATCTGTAACTTATGACTAACCTTATTAATATGAATAGAGGCATTTATTTTTATCTTTACTAATGTATCGCTTCATACCTTAAAATGGCTTATTTCGTATAATGCTACATAACATAAGCGTCACTGTGTGTCAATTTGATTCTAACAGCCATTGAATAGGCTGACGTCAATGATAATCTTATATCAAATTGGCTTTAGAGAATAGAACACGTGGATTAATGAATACATGAAAATGACAGCCGTAGCTCATGACCTTTTGGTACTTATATCATAGACTTACTGTTTCTCTTATTACGTATCTATTAAATGAACAGTGTGAGAAGAGTATTACATATCTTCATCTGATAAGGATATTCTTTTTTATTTTTAAATATTTCTGTCGAGTAGAATACTACAATGTTTTATTTATGATAACGTGATGATAAGCTAGCAGTCTCGGCTTATTTAATTCTTTTGGTAATTAGCAATGGACTTGGTTCCTAACTAAAATGCTCCCTTTCATAAAAGGTGTAGAGTACTTTCCAAGCCACGAAGTTCCTAAATTGGTGGGTTATTCAGGGTGTACTAAGGAGGCGTGTACATGTCATCACTGTTCGTCATCAAAGAAAAAAGTTCCGCCCTTTCTCTCCCTCTCTTTTCTTTTGTTGTTACAATAGAAGTATTCATCAATGGCAGGAGAAAACTATATTGGATCAAAGATTTCTGTAAGCTCTCTACTGCAACTCTTTAAAGAAATAGTCAACTTATATTTCACATCTACTTTATAGCTCATCAGTTTAAGTGACATTCGTTACGTTGGTATTCTTCACAGTATCAATGCTCAAGATTCCACAGTTGGATTAAAGCAAGGTAGGTCTTTTTTATTTCTTAATTCCTGAAGTTTTAGGAACCCACGTATTGATATTAAACGTATTCGCATAGTTCGTTCTTTTGGCACCGAGGGACGTAAAGGAAAGCTCGAAGAGGAAATTCCTCCTTCTGAAAACGTATTTGACTATGTTGTATTCCGTGGATCGGATATTAAAGATCTCCAAGTCTTCGAGGCTCCTCCCAAGCCTACCCCTCCACCACAAAGCCTCCCTCAGGATCCTGCTATCATGGTAAGTGCTGAAATAGTAGCGCCTATGCAGTGTATTTACTGGCGTATTAGAGTATGAGCGGGTACCCTCCTATGAATCCATATATGGGTGGCAACATGTATATGCAACCTCCACCTGTTTCTCAGCAGCTTCCTCATCAACAGCAACAACCTCCGTTCCAACCTCCTCCCGTCCTTCAGCAACCTCATTTACACCAGTCGCAACCACCTCAGCCGCAACCACATCCTTTACAACAGCAGACAAAACCTCTTCAAACACAACCCCAACAGCAGCACCGTCAGGCACAACCCCAGCAACCCCAGCAACATCAACAGCCACCTAAACAGCAGCAGCAACCACCACCACCACAACAACAACAACAACAACAACCCCAGCAACAGCCACAACAGCAGCAGCAACAACCTATCCAAGGTTACTGGAAACCTACTTACACTGAAACTGAAGTTGACCAACTTGAAAAGGATACGTTGGATGAATTGAAAGCTGAATTGGCTGAAGCTGATGCTCTCCAGCCCAATATTAATGAGGCTACGATTGAGGAATTGGCAAAGAAAGTGAGTGAGTTGAACCCAGTTGATGAACCTAAACAATCTTCTGATGAACACCGTCCAAACAACCGCCGCCACGATCACAGCAATCACCGTGGTAAGCGTCACAGCAACGACAGACAAGTCAACCATAAGAACAAGAATGACTTCAATATCCCCTCTTCAGAATTTGATTTTGAAGCTTCTAATGCCAAATTTGATAAAAACGAAGTCATAAAGAAAGATGAAGGAAGCGCTTTGGAGACAGTAGCCGATATTCCTCCTCCTGATAACTTCTATAACAAGGTAATAGACACCGTCTAAGTATTCTCATAATTTAACCTTTGACTTATTTTAGAGCTCATTTTTTGACAACATCTCTTGCGAGTCAAAGGAACGTGCAGAACAACGTGACAAGTAAGTTATTTTTTCTATTGTTAAGCAAATGGCTCATGTCTATCACAGTGAACAACGCCGTAACCGTTTCCAAGAAGAACGTAAATTGAACATGGAAACATTTGGACAAGCAAGTGTCGACCAATCCCGATACCGTAGTAACTATAATCGAGGACGCGGTAGCAATTATCGTGGCCGTGGAGGATATTATCGTAGCAGCAACCGTAGTAATACTACAAACGGATATAGACAGAACAATAAGGCATAAAGAAAACAAGTGTAGTAGACTGCAATCACATATCTTATGTATGATAATAATAAGTGTGCTTAACCCCCTTTCCTCTTTTGGGTTTTCATTCAATAAATAATTGGTTTTATTCAATTTAACATTTGAATATGGTTGCTCTTCTTTACTAGCCACTCTATCTTGGTTTGTTTATAATCTATAGGACTGCTTGAGCTAAATCTAAGAATTATGGAACAATGAAGAAGAATACTAAAGGCTAAAGATACAGGAAACATAAGCTCTGTCGTCTTTTGACTGACAAAGTACGCTTAAAGCAACCATTGCTGATAGTTTCTTTTTTTATATAGTCTTTCTGCCTTTATTTCAGAGTAAAAGTTAATATCAAACAGTGTTGTAATTTCATCTACCCTTTATTCAAGTGTATGAAGCATTGATTATTATAGACAAAGAAGAAATATCTATATCTTTTTTTTTATCAAATAGCCTTTTTAATGCCCACGCAAAAGTGTTTTCTTGCAATAAAAGCCTCGGAGCTCTTCTTTGCGATACGCGTTTCATCCAATAAGCTTACTTAACCTTGTAATATGCTCTCGTTGCAACGCAGAGGAAAGTCGCAGTACTATTTTATCTTTTATTAAATCGAAATAAGAAGAGCTCAAATCTTACAACTTTCATGGTTGGGAAAAGCAAACAGTATAAAATCCTATTCAGGTACAATATATAATTCACAGTTCTTAAGTTGAGATAAAAACTAGGAATAAGCTTGAAAACTTTAACAATGTAACTTTTCTTATTTCGTTAGAGTGAGTTGGGTAGATTTGTTATAAAGCAAGAGCTTGAGTAAAGTTTGCATTTAAACAGAAGTTTGAGTAGTATAGTAACTATCAGATCTTATTAAAAGATCAGTTGTTAAGTTCGTAAAGGTTTGAAGATAAAAGAATAAGAGCAGGATCTTTTGTAACAAAAGTTAAGATCTGTTTATTGTATGAATATGAAAAGAAAAGAAAAGGGGTTTGATTCAATTGATTGATCGACTTTTCCGAATTGAATGAATCTATCTGGCAAGGAGAGGCAAGGACCAAGGCTATTTATACGTTTTTGAGAGAACATCAGCACTACTTTTTGTATCGACTTTTTCGAAAATATGAAAATTTTGTATAGACGAAATTTTCATTTTGATCCTGTGCTACTCGATTATCCAGCTCGTCTAGTATGTCACAGCAGAACGAATGTATATCTATTTCAAAAAACATTGATTACAACAGTGTTACTGGGTGTTAGTAGTAAGGTTAAAAATAAGTTTTATAAGTAGAATTTGGTATTGTAGTGACTACCGGATCTTAATATAAGATCAATATAAAGCAATATAATGCTAAGCCTTGTGAGATAAAGTAAAAAGCAAAATAAAGATAAAATAGAAGTTATTGTGATCTGAAGATAAGATAATTCCTAGATGATTCTTCGATGTTTATTTATGAATAATTTGGAGATATTTATACTGTTTGTATAAGTAAATATGCAATATAATATATATTGTTATTTTCCTTAGGAGTTGTAAGGGTTGTTGTTAATATAGAGAGTTTTCTTGAGATTTTATAGGTTTAGGTGCTTGATGTGACCACCAGATCTTTTAAAGTTGATCAAACTGTGAAATATAAGTAGAAAAAATAAAAGAAGAGATCAGGAACTTTTTATAACAAAAGGTTGCCTGTTTATTTGAATAAAAGATAAGAATGTGAATTGAAAATTGTTTTTTTTTTTGACTACTACAGAAGAAGATATTTATATCATTTCATTGTTTATGATCTCAACCTTTCAAACAAAACGAAAGTTTTCATAAGACCG